AGTGTTATTATAACCCTTCTCATTTTAAAATATATAAATTATTACTTAAACTTTTAAATTTATAATAAATAATTTAAATTGTATCATAAAATTAATTTTAAATAGAAATAAGTAGATTGTTAATTATAAAAGTAAGTATATATATAAATAAAGATTAATTAAATATAATATAATTATTATTCGGTCACTAATTTGGTCCCATACACTTCTGTGACCAAAATCATTTCAACCATTTAGCGACCAAATTAGCGACCGAAAATTTTTCAGTCGCTAAATAGCTTAGCGACTGATTAAATTCGGTCGCTAACGTAAATAGCGACCGATTTTTGCAATTTAGCGACCGATTTTGGTGGTCGCTAAATTGCATATTTTTTGTAGTGTAAATATAGGATCTAGAATATAAGTATATACAAGGTCCCAATCCGACTATAGTTAGAGTGTACATAAACAAAATACAACCCAAGATAGCCAACTAGTGGCCAAACATCAAAATATCCGCAAAATAAGACTCCTCTATCTGCCAGCAGACCTGCCTCTATCACCAGCCTAACCCTGCTCTACTTCCATACAACGTATGATCATCGCAGTCCAAAACACATGGAAACAACAAAGGGTAAGCTAGTATAAAGAATCAACATATAAAACATTATTAAATAATAACGAACAGCTACGGCTATCAGCACATCATCAGCATACATCAAATCAGTATACAGCATAATCAGCAATAAACACACAATGCATCGTCACGCATATCAGCTCGGAGATCTCCTACAACAGCTCAGCCTTACGGCCTACAACAGCTCAGCCTTACGGCCTACAATAATTTATATCAACATACAGCACAACACGACTTTACAACATAATATATCATCTTACAGCACATCTAAACATCTTACAGCGCAGCACAGCTCATCTTGTCAGCTCACAGCACAACACAACTTACAGCAATAACATCTATCACAACTAAACATCATCAAACAGCATTATTTACTAGTCAGCACATCATATTCATTAATTTCGGCTTATACTCAACATAAAACAACTTCTAACAGCATTTAGTGAAATCTCACCTTCGTGCCTGGCGCACTCGTGGTTGCGCCCAGCGCAGTGCAACCAGAGAGTACTAGGGAGCCAGCGCGCCCAGCGCAAGCGTGCCCGCGCCCGATGGAACCCAGCCAGAGAGCTCAAGGCTCACACGCGCCTGGCGCAATACCAATTACGCCCAGCGCATGCCAGGCAGAGACTCTAAGGAGTCTCACGCGCCCGGCGTGCCCAAACCCGCGCCCAGCGTCGGGAAGGCAGAGACCTCCCTTGGTCTCGCGCCCAGCGCAATTCAAATTGCGTCCGGCGCCCACAAGGTAGAGACTCCCCAGGAACCTCTCGCCCAGCGCGACAAGGGTCTCGCTCAGCGTAGAATCAAAAACCCCAAAACATGCTACAACTGGTATCGCACCCAGCGCGGTCCAAGTCACGCCCAGCGTGGACTAACCAGAGACCCACATTCCCAAGCGCGCCTGGCGCACCCATCATTGCGCTCGACGAGCTTGCCTAAATGGAGTCCCCTGGCAGCCACGCGCCCGACGCGAAGAACTGCGCTCAGCGCGAAGCTCAGCAGCAACTCCAGCAAGTTCAAAAATTTCACCCAACCCTACAAAACAACCAGAAAACCAGCATGCAAACCAACCAAAAACCCACATGTTCATCAAGCATTACGAAAAATAGTTCATTTTCAACATGCAACCATCAAACAAGTAAAATTCCCAAAATTTGCACCCAAACCCCGGAAAACCCGAGAACGAAAATCCCATTCAAACACAGCCAAGAATGAACCACTTCAATAACTAATGAGTTGCCTGAACTCATTTGCATCCAAAAACAACAAAGAAATCTAGCTTCCCTTACCTCTGATCGAAGATCCTAGCTTCTGGGAAGGAGACAAGCTCAACGGAAGAATAAGAGAGAAGAAGAAAGAGAGGAGAATCAAGACGGAGAAGAAGACTTCACTAGCTTCCAACACCTCAATCAGCACCTAGATCACCACAACCACCAAAAGCACCAGGAATCCAAGGCAAAGTGAGTGAATAAGGGAAAAATAAGTGAGGGAGGAGAGAAAAG